TGGACATTGTCATCGGGTGACTGCTCGGCATTCGCGCGAGCTTGCAAACCCTCCCTATGTAATCCTCGTCCTGAAAACAGGACACAAAGCGCGGGTTCATCCGCGACCCATCAGAAATCCTAAGAACAGTCTCGCACAAAAAGCTATGGAATTTAGGTCTAATTTTGTAGCGAGGTCTGCACTCTTTGAGTGCAATCTCCCCCAACTTCACCACACTTTGCACGTAAACCATTCCCAGGTTTACGAGGCGTGAAGCTTCCCCGTTTGACAGCCACATTTGGGCCCCATCCAAAGTGGTACTGAACGTATGCAAAGACCAGCTACATACTGCTTGCACCCGCAAATCTTTTGAAGATAGAGATGCTTCCTTAGTTGCTGCGCCCATGTTTGATCGTTTTGTGTGTTGTTGTCCAGTTTGCGTGTTTGCACTGTTTGCCGGGCAAGTTTCATTCAGCCGTTCCGTCAAAAATGCCAGCCTCGGTGCAAAAAATTGGACTGTGTGTTTTTCCCTTTAGGACGGAAATTGAAGTTTTCAGCTGAAGAACAAAACTCGGTTGGTAAAGGCATTGCCCGATGCTTCAGGGTAGTCCAGTGTAACTGCATCAACACCAAGTTTTGTTAGACCTGAGCGGCGTGCGCGCACCAGAACACGGGATATAGATATTATATATACTGTAAATATATATAACTAAGCAGGGCATTTACAAGTATGAAACTGGGTTGTGGCAAGGTACTCCATTCCTCAATCGTGCACGGGGGGATCTTGTGATCTTCACAGAAACGTCGCGCATCAAGCGTCATTGCATGAAGTTTGTCATCCCAAGCACTGAAATCTTGCCACCATGGTCCAAATTCGCATAAGTCCATCATGAGCGACCCGATGGTGTCCCGGGCAGTTCCAAGCCAGACCGAATGCAATATGTCTGGATACTCACAACTAATGTGCCACCCTGACAAATGTCGTATAGCCACATTCGGCCCAATGCCTGATATCAGACTCTTTGAGTTTGGGAGATCTGGAACCTATTTTAGTTTTACAAAAGACAAACAAATACCAATGCACACATGTTTAATAACATGCGAGGCGCAATTTCTTGCAGCAGCGTCCATATCCGCTTGGTTGTGGAATGCCATGTTTGTTACATCCAACCACGGTTTGGAACCATCTGATCCCGCCAAACACCGCCTACAGACCATGTGCGGTCCATCGGAACCTTCTTTCTTCGCCGCCCTCAAATAAGATCTTGGTTCATCCAACCACTCCTTCTTAAATTTCCAATCCCCCTTCCCTGCGCAATAGTGCAAAGAAAGTTGGTCACCATCAGGCATGTGGGCACACTCGTTGAACATCCTGCGAATTCTTATACGCAGAACTGATGGTTGAACATCAAAGACATGTCAAATAGTTTGTTGCAACCCGGCCTGACATAGTGTTTTTGTAGCATTTCCAATGTCAAGTTCCGTTTGCCATCGTACGCAAAGCACGTTGAGCGCATAACCTTGCAAGCGCAATGTTACCACTTCTTTGGGGAACAATTCAATATGATATGCCTCACGTACAGTGCCCGCCCAGAAACCGCAAATGGAAACTTGCATGAAGTTGATCGTTTGTGGACGCCAAAACTGCTCCACGAAAGTACTAAAACACTTTTGTCCTTCTTTCCTTGACCTTCATCGCCGTGAGCAGCTATCCCAATTGCCCGTTTTCTTTTCTCAGCCGGCCATGATTGCACAACGTGCGACCTCAAAATCCCAAAAAAGAAGGAACGGCGTATAAGGCGCATGTTTGCAACTGGGGTTGGTACCGGCCCCAAGGCTCGCTCTTGGCTGCTTCCCAAAACTCTAGCCAGTCGAAGTCATCCCCCTCCCTCAGTCTGCCCACGCACACGGGACGCAAAGAACCGGTCAAAACACATGTGTGTGTGTGCCCACGCAAAGCTTCAAGAAACAGCTCACCAGCAGAACCGAGTCGCAAGAGATGATTTGCTCCAGCTTTGGCCACCGCATCGAGCATGACACGTGGGTTCATCACTGGCCACTTCTTTTGAGTGATGGGTTGGGGGGCTGCCCCTGACTTCGTAGGTTGATGTTTCTTTCCTTTGGTGTTTTTGGCATTCCGCACGTTGAATCTGCGTTTCTTGTTTGGTTTTCTTCTCAAAGCACGCGCTGCCTGCTTGTCAACCACAGGGATCACAACATACGAGATTGGGCACTTGATGATGGCCTTTTGCGTTGCGCCCGCAATCACGCGTACCAATAACAAAAAATGTGTGACAAAACTGTGTGACATGGTCAAGGCGCGTCATCAGATCTTGAAAGAGCTTTGTGAAAGGTATCCTCTGTGTGGTAGGTCCGTTTGCGGTGGTTTCCCAATCTGGCAGCCCATCGGGTACCTTACGTTCACCGTTAACCCCAAACCGATCAAACAAAGTGCAAAAATCTTTGAGCAACTAGCTTGCCCAACCTAACTGGCCTATAGAACAAGCTGCGACTTGTTTTAAATTAGTTTTTACAAGTTGCTTGCACTCACATGGTCTTCCCCAGATTCTAGAACAGCAGCCTTTGCAAACTTCTGCAACAGTGAAGCAGCTGCCCCCTTGCCAATGTGCTCAGCCGCAGTTCGTGCTAGAGGGCTGTCCCGCAAGCTAAGCCTATCGGGAACCTGTTTCTTTTTTCTCGGATTTTTCAACAGTAAAGCCAATTTTTTCATGGCCTGGAACCGAGACTTCTGCCACGCAACAGAAACGAAAAGCATTGTTTGAGTTATGTGCATGTCAGCGTTTCGTTCGACTTCCGAGCGGTGAAGGGGAAACCTATTTTCACTGTCGCCATGTGTGCCAGATCTCTGTCGTGGACTCAGCTTCCCACAAAACATTGGTTGAGAAAGAAAGGATACACGCTCACAACTTTACGACGTGCAAGTAATCGTAGCAACACACACACAGGAACCTATATTAAAGGATGGTAAAATCGCTTTGAGAAAACCAATTGGTGGAAGCTTGAAACTGATTTGACCCTTGGCCGCGGCAGTAGTCATCACCTGTTTCCAGCAGGTGTTCCGACTACATGCAGCCCAAACCCCCGAGCGTAACCCGCTCCGTGTGAAAAAAGGTTCACCTAAGCAGCTACTCAGTCTTTGCCTTCTTTGTGCGGGATTTTGCTTTCCCTGATGCCTGCAAAGCCCCGCGTTTTGCTGCAGCGATCCTGAGACACCGTTAACACCAACACCCCCACCACAAAATGTCAAGTGGACACAAAAA